CTTTATACATGTGGTTCACACGGAAGTCCCAGAAAAGGTCAACTCTCGCTTCTTCCCACATTTCTCCTTCTTCGGTCATCTCTTCTATCTCTCTTTCAAATCTCTTTTCGGTTGCTACCGGATCGAGAGGATCTTGGATTCCTTTCTCCACACGTTGCAACCAATGGTTTAGCCATCTGCCTCTTCCGATTATAAAACTTTCCACGCATGACAACCACGTTCGATATCTATTCCAATGATACCGTTCGATGTGTGGTTTCCACATTTCGTTTGTCCGCATGATGCTTTTCACTTCCTTCTGGGCATGACCTTTAAGGTCTGCTAATGCGGCATTACATCTTGGCCATTCTGAAAGGTCATCTTGGGAGGCATTTTCGCAACATTCCGTGCATTCCCATTGTGGTTGCACTCTGCACGGATCCTCAAAGTAACCGTGGTGACAACTCCCGGCTCGTTCTTCTGGAGTTAATGTACTCGCTTGAGGTTTCAGCTGTTCGTGTACTGTGGTATCTTCCTCACATTCGATTGGAGTCACGCTTTTATCCTCAGAGGATATTACGATGACCTCTGGTTCTTTGTTTTTTCGGTGACCTTTCAACTGTTCGAGTGCCCGGTCGCGGATTTCACTTGTAAACATCTGTTCCTCTTCAGTTATTCGCTTCAAAACCCGTAACCTTTCACTCTTTTTATCCTTCCCCACTTTAGCCGTCTTTATTTCCAGTGCCTCTGGTACTGGGATAGCTTTTTCAACACCTTTTTCTGTGTCTCCTTGCTTACAGTCATCTGCGATCATACTTCTCCCGTCCGGGAGAAATACGATCGCCTCATCCGTGTCTGGCGCGAGTGGTTCCTTTTTCCTTTCGTTGACTTTTTTGACATTTACGCTTTCGCTAATCTTCTCCGGTGCCTCTGGTACCGGGATTATCCGTTGGCTAATCTCGTTCTGCTGCACTCTCGTCATTCCCTGTGCCTCTGGTACTGGGATGACCTTTTCTCTTCCCTTTTGTGTCAGCATTGTCCGATTTAACGTGTTTTCGATCTCCTGCTGAATCATTTGCAACTGCTCAAATGGTGACAATTCTTTTCGCGTCGTCTTTTTCTTTTCGTTTCCCGGTGCCTCTGGTACTGGGATTAGCGTTTTATTAACCATTTGAGCATTTCCCGTCTGTTTTACAAGTTCGGTGACCTTTCCGACTTGAACTTTAGCGATTGGTTTTGGGTCATCTTCTTTCTCTTCTTCACCTTCGTTATCCATTAGTACAAATTTCTTTTCCAAGAAGTCAAATCCCAGTAAGACTTGTACGTCGTCACACTTCGGTCGGACGTAGAAAGAATGTTCGCTTGTCTTCTTTCGTAAGGTCACTGGTGCTACGCAGTAGTGCGTCACCAGGAATCCTGACGTTCCGCTAATTCCGTTAATCTTCACCAGTCTATCTGGTGGCAATGGGAGCATATGAAGTCCATTCTTCTCGCAAAACGGTTTGCTGATCAGCGACGTCTCAGCGCCGGTGTCCAACATTGCGTTGACCTTTATGTCTCCCACTTTCACTTCATGTGTGTATGCTTCAATTCTCTTGGGCAATTTTCCGTTCTGAATCTTCAGTGTATGAATCTTACATTTCACGGGGATGAGCGATACTGGTCCCGGATCCATATCGGGGAGCACTTGTCCTTTTGCTGGAGTGCTATGACCTTTCAGTATCTCGCTCAGCTTATCGATCCTATGTGGAACGTTAGTCCGAACATCGTAATATTTTCGCGGCTTTTCTTTACTTGTTCGCTTCTCTGTAGCCATTTTATCACCGGTGACCTTTTCCACATTCTGCACTTGCTCATTTGCTTTTGTGCTATCCATGTGACCTTTAGTCACTTCATTTATCGTCTGATGGATCAATTCCTCTTTACGGTTTTCATTTCGTTTATCTCTCAGCTTCTCAATGACTTCACTTGTTATTTGGTCAGCTCGCTTCAATTCGTCTTCTTCACCATCTCTCATCTCCTCTGGTGACCTTTCATATGTGACCATATTATATCCCTTTTCGGTCATCCACTCAATCACCTTTGCAGACACCTCGTTGTTCGTTTTCGTCGGGTCGATTTGCGAAGACATCCCGTCTGTTCGGGCTGGTGACTTGTCATTGGTATCCTTTTGCAGTGCCTCCGATAAGTCCCGTGACCTTTCAACTGCGCCACTCTGTTGCATTTGCGCCATCTCGTTTGACCATTCTTTCTGTTCATTTTGCGCTAAGTCCTGTGACCTTTCGTTGCGCTTCATGACAAATCCGCCGTTTGTCAGCTTTTGTAAGGGGACTTTTTCTCCGTAATTCGGCGGTTTATCCTGTGGCGGAGCATTACGTGAATAATTCCAGTCGGCGCATGTCTTCTTATATTCCTCTGCGTTGAATGCTGGGACTGGGTTCGGTGACCCTTGCGCTGGTTTCCCGGTAACCAACTCTTCTAGTCGCTTTCTTTCACATTGCGTTCGCAACTGTTGCATGTCCCAGTAGTCCTCTTGTGACATTTTCGCTTTCTGCTTTGCCTTCGGCGTTACGGGTATCCACATCCCGTGATTCCCATTCGGTCTGTAGGCCACTTTTTGCCAGATTTCCTTCCGTTGCAGCGTTATTGCATCTACAAGTGAGTCTTCGGAGTCCTGTTGTGCCAGTTCGCTATTCTTTTGCTGCGCTGTTCGCAGTGTCAAGTCTGTTTCTTGACCTTTTAACACGACGCTGTCGCCGTGACCTTTCGCATTCGCATTCGCTCCTTGACCTTTCACTTGGATTTCTCCAACAGAAATTGACCTTTCATCTTTACTAATGACGGTGATATTCTGCTTAATCCATTCTTGCCTTATTCGCTTCTCTTCTTCGTCTTCTGAACAATTCCAAAACTTTGGCTTTGGTTCCCCGTAACAATCGCAGCTTGGCTCATTCGCCTTGTCGTTTTCTGCCAAAAATTTTCGGAATTTTGCGTGCTGTTCGTTTTCCTCTTGCGCAGTGTCGTTCTGCGGTTTCTTCTGATTCAGGAGCGCCTGTTGAATCTTTGCATTTCGTTGTGCGCGTCGTTGCGCTAACACTTCTTCGCTGCAGTACGGTGACCTTTGATTTTGCTGCACTTTTTGCAGTGTCGCGCTACCGTCACGACAATTTCCACTCGCAGTACCATTCTGCGGTGACCTTTGGTCCCGTTGCGCGTTTCCACTCGCAGTACCATTCTGCGGTGACCTTTTGTCCACTTGAACATCTCCACTCGCAGTGCCATTCTGCGGTGACCTTTCACTTTGTGACGGTATCCCTATAACCGTTCCATTATCTCTTTGCGATGACGGCATCCATATAGCCGTTTCTCTTTGCTGTGGCGGCATCCATCTAGCCGTTTCTTGTGGTTGCGGCATCCATATAGCCGGTCCATTTTGCTTTTTCGCTGACGGCATCCATATAGCCGTTGCAGTGGTCACGTTCACTGCAGTACCATTCTGCAGTGGTGACCTTTCCCTTTTATCCGGTGGTTTAGGGTCGGGTCGATCAGTAGGCTCACCGGTGCCTACTGATCTTGCCCGTTTCCCTGAACCGGCGCCCCACCTTGTTGCACGCCTAGCAAATTTCCTTGCACATTTCCTTGTTGTTGTCCGATATCGTTTGCCGGGTTAAGATTCTGTCCGTTGCCATTGTTGTATTGGCCACCACCCTGTTGGTAGTTACCTTGGCCGCCTCCATTGTTCTGGCCTCCTCTGAAATTTCCGCGGCCGAAGCCTCTGTTTCTTCCTCTGAAGCCGCCGCGGCCGAAGCCACCACGGCCGTAGCCACCGTTCTGGCCACCGCCATTTCCATTTCCATAGTTGCCGTTTCCATTCCCTTGTTGGTTTTGGAAGTTTGCTTTGTGTTGGTACCATTGGGTGATGAGGTCATATCCGTTTGCGACCGCTGGGCGCCAGCCACCTATAGCTCGGAGGCGTTGCCACTCGTTAAAGGCAAACAGATTCGGGTTCTGTTCTGGTGGTGTGTTGGCGAACTTGCACCCCTGTGTCTGATGGTTGCCGTACATACAGTACTGGCACATCTGCACGTTGTTCGCCACCCATCCATCAATCATCTGGAACTTGAATTCGGTTCGTGACCCTTGATTTTGCTGTTGATTCCCTCTGAAGTTTCCTTGACCTTGACCTCGTCCCTGATTCTGGAAGTTCCCCTGACCTCCATTCCAGTTTCCATTTCCGCCGAAGTTTCCATTACCCACTCCCTGTTGTGGTAACCCGACATTCATGGGGGCCACGTTCTGTGGTGCTGGTGGAATCACATTCTGAGGTATTGGTCTCACTTGAGCCGCCGCCTGTATCGCAGCTACCATTGCATACGTAAGTGGCTGTCCCGTCTGACTGTCAATAAAGGTCACTTCTTTGGTGACCTCTTGCACCGGAGCCTCTCTGCGGTATTCGACCGGCTGCTGGACTGGCGCAGCTGCCATTCTCTGTTGCGGCACATTTTCGACTTGTCCAGACCGGATTGTCACGTAATCCTGGTTTCGTTGACCTTTTGGCGCCTTGTACTTTTCCTCTCCCGTTGCCCAATGTCGGAAGAAGTCCTTCACGTCCGTTGGCGTCTTGCACTTCTGTATGCGCAATGCCTTGTAGAGTTCGTTATCCCCTCTGCACCCTTCAATTAGGAAGCCGACTGCTTGCTTCTCAGTGATGATTCTTTTTGCCTTGAAGCGCATCATCGCCTGGTAGTACTGGTCAAGCGATTCTTTCCCGAGTTCAAATTTCCTTGCATAGGCCTCACGTAAGCCTAAGACTTCTTCATCTCGATCACCGTATTCGTCTTTGAATTTGTCCATCCACTCTGTTATTGAGTATTCGATTCCATCTTCTGCTGCGATGTCCTTTTCTCCTTCAAACCATGTTTTTGCAGGACCTTTCACTGCACTGGCTATCTCAATCATGATTTGGTCGTCCGTCAACTGATAAGTCCTTTGGGTTTCTTTCACCAATCGTGTCCACCCACTCACTCTGTGTCACGACTGCCGTCAAAGGTCATGAGTGGTGTTTTCCTGGCCATCGAGTTGAGTGCTTTTGTCAATTGCACCGCTGTATTTTCTGCTCTTTGGTCATCATCTTCTTCGCTACTTCCGTCATCACTTTGATTTCGTCTCGTCTTTCCATAACGGGATTTCCTTGGACGTTCCTGCCGGCTGGGGGGTCTGTCCCGTCGTCCTTCATCGATGAACACATTTGTTTCGATGTGCGGAGGAAATTGTGAAGGGTCACCTCGGCTCATATGCGGGTAACTTTCCGAAGGTGGCTCTTTGTCTTCTTTGCCCTTTTCACCTTCTCGTTCTGCTTTTACGCTTCCTTTACCGGTACCGGTTCGTAGTGGCATTTCAAAGTGGAAACTTTTGCCCGTGCCCGTTTCATGCGCCTTGCTGTAACTGGGCGGGGGGGACTCCACTGTTGCCGTTTTAACTCCGTATTGTAGGAGTTGTTCATCTTTGTGCTTGTTAGACGTCTGGAGCGCCTTGTTCTCATCTTCCAATCGTTTAGTTCTCAGTTGAAGTTCTTCTCTTTCTCTCTTTAGATCAGAATTTTCCAGGTTGACCTTTCGTAAGTGTTCCTGCAGTTTAAAAGACTCCTGCTGGGTGACCTTTTCATTTTCCCGTTCCATCTTTTTGATGTGCTCGACCAGCTCACTCGTTTCATTTTCGAGTTGCTGATACTGCCCAGCGGCTGATCTCAACTGATCCTTGATCGCGATCAACTCATCATCTTTTGCCAATGCTGTGGTGGTCATCTCGACGAGGTCAGTGTTCAGCTTTGCAATTTCCTGACTCTTTTGAGCGACCTGTTGTTGCCACTCTTTGTCCTTCAACTCCAATGTTGTGACCATTGTGTCCAGTCGCCGTGCTTCCTTCTGCCATTTGAGTCCTTCCTTAGTGACCTTTTCAATGTCTTCTGTGACCTTTTCGTTCTCCTGGTTGACCTTTTTGATATCTTCTTTCAGGCGTTCTCCTTCAGTAGCTGTAATGTCTCTTGCCTCTCGCATCGCTTTGATTGCATCATTGCGCAACTTCTCAGCTTCGTCCGCCCGTTCCTGATGACCTTTCGATTCGAGTTGCAGAGTACTGACAGCCTCCTCCCGTAGCTTCAGGTCATTCCTTAGTTTGAACGTCTCCGTTGCCAATGTTGTCAACCGTTGTGTGACCTCTGCGAATTTGGTCGCGTACTCGTCCCGTTTAGTTTCAGCTTCAGTGACTTTTTGACGCAACTGGTCACACTCGTCCTTCAATTCGGCCAAGTGCCGTGACCTTTCTGCTGATTCCTCTGACATGCTTTCATTAAGGTCACTGACTGCAAGATGACCTTCCATTTCTCTGTCATCTACCATTTTCAGATACTCCTCGGCCAGTTCCCTTTGCTTTTCATATTTCACCTTCCATTCTTCTGCTGTATTCTCCAAGTATCCCCGTTGTTGTTCCAACTCAAATAGCCGGGTCTCAAGCGATGTCAGTCTCTCTTGATATTCCTGTTTTCGTCTCGCCGTCTGATCTTCCTTATTGTGGAGTTCATCTTCCAAATCCTTCACGCGCCTCTTCAGAGTTGACGTGGGACTATTCGGTGACGGCGGTCGTACGTTGATGACCTTTCCCGTTTGTGTCCTTTCAATAAGGTGCTCGGGTATGTCCTTAAACGGTGTCATCCCTTCAGCACGATCAGCTTCTTTCATCGCGGTCTGGAAGGACATATTCATCGTCGCTTCGTCATCCGTAAAGTATGACTCGTTCGATTCGTCTGAGACCATCGGAGTTGCCCAAAGGTCATCACCGACAGTCTTATCGTGCAGTGAAAGGTCATCCAATCCCAGTTCAGCCAATTCCATTTCTGTGACCTTTGTCTTATCCATTTCCATTCGAGTCAGGTTCACGTTTTTATCCTGCTCGTTTGTTCCGCTAATGGTAGCATCCAGCTGTGATGCTCCAACTGGTTCCACTCCTTTCCCTGTGGGCATTTCCTCCCCGGTGACCTTTTTCTGGTTCATCGGATCACTTCCCGCCACAGACGCGGGAGTGTTCTTCTGGTCGTCACTTGAACTTTCCTGGTTGGCGACCGCCTCGAGCGCCTTCTGATACGTGCTATTAGAGCCTCGTGAGTCCTTCTTCTCGAATGCCTTGGGCGCTCGAGTGTTCCGCTCGTGTCCAACCGGACGCGAGTACGGGTACAAATCTTTTTTGTACGGATTTGGTGCACCTTGCTGTGAGCTTCGAGAGCTTTTGCTTCCCTGACTGCTGTTGGATGTTGGTTCCTCTTGGTCTTTGTCCATGTTGATCGGATAACTTGGACGCTCCTGTCAATTGTTCTCACACACAAGTTATTGTATGGTTTATTCAATTTTCATAAAGGTCACTCTGTACCTCCGAAATTTTTCTAAGTGCTTATTAAAGGTCACTTTTCGACTGAAAAATTTCGACTAAGTCCCGTTTAAAGGTCACTTTTTGATAAAAAAGTTCGAGAGATTTGCCCTAAAAGGTCACTTTCGGACAAAACTTCGAAACAGCTTTTACAGTTTGGAACACGTTAGCGAATGAAATCCTACAGCTGCTGATATCGCTGTACCACTATTCAGTTCAATTTCACTTCGATAAAGGTCACCGTTCGTCAGTTTTAGATCATAAAGGTCACTTAAATAGATCAATTTGGTCAATTCCAGCTTTTCAGTAAAGGTCACTTTTCAAAGTCAAAGGTCACGTTCTGGTCCTAAAGGTCACTTTCCGACTCAACTCAACTCGAAAGGTCACTTTCCAACTCGATTTCTGTCAAAAGGTCTCTTTCCGGCTCGATTCCAGTTAAAGGTCACTTTCTAGCTCAATTCAATCAAAGGTCACTTTTCCTTTGTCTAAACTCAAAGGGTCACTTTCCGTCTCAATTATCTCATCTCAGATCAAATTTCCCATTACAGTTCGAGTTCAACGGAAAATACCCATTTACGTTGTTTACTTCGTTCCTATTGGTCCGCTAGCTCAAATTATTCAGTTCGAATTTCGACCAATCACGGCTCAGATAACTGACCAATCACGTTAATCCGTTTAAAATTTTTATCTGCCTGACGTCACGGTCAACGGCCAGACATGCGCGCCGTGTGCAAAACTCCGCCTACTTCTACGCTCAGCTCAGTACGGACCAATGAAAAATGAGAATTTTACCATGTAACCAATCCCGTAATTAATAACGGTTTTCTACCTGTTAACCGTCCGTTCCACGGGAAAAACGATCCAGATGATCCAATTTTTTCTCCACTGTCCGTTCCCGCGCTGCCGCTTTTCCGTAGCGGTTGTGCCGCCCGCTTTTCGAATGCTACTGTGCCGGCTGACTGCCGTAGCAACAGTAGTAGTGCTCTACTCCAGTTTGGAGGAGTCTGATCTGGTCTTTTCCCGTGCGCCCCTTTTAGCGCTTCGCCGCTTGTGGCCCACGGCTTAGGATTCGCTGAATCCTTGCCGAGTATCAGCGACACCAGTGTAGGTCTTCGCTGAAGACTCTACACCGAGGAACGCTGACGACTGAACTCTTGCACTCTTGCACAGCAGTGGAACAGCACAGGTCTTCGCTGAAGACACTGTACCGAAAACCAAAGCTGGAAATCCGCGTCCAATGGAGGAAATTGCACCGCTTGTGGTGTTGCGCTTTGCTGTCCGTACAGACCTGTGCCTTACTGGTCACAGCGAATAACAGGCCAACTTTGCCTGACAAGTCAAATCAAATCAATTCACATCAGAGAACCGCTGTCGGCTCTGCTACCATCTAATGCTAGATCCAACTGTGATCCAGATACGGAGACAGAAACAGAATCTATCCCGTGGAAGCGAGCGATACGATATGGATCGCGAGCTATGCGGAAACACAAACGTCGCACCGTAAATCGCTGACTTTTAATAATATTGAAAGTCTGCACAACAGAAATCAACAAGTGATCGGCACAGCTCGATCGTAAAACGTAGAGCCCGTTCAACAGTGCGCAACACCGTGCAGCACGTGCTATGCCGCGCCCACTATCAAAACGCAAGCCAATCAGAAGAGACACAGCACAGACACGTAATCCTAAGGCGTAGCGCCACAGGCGTAGCGCCACTGACGTGAACGCTAGTGATCCTGGTCTCACAACTCCATCCTAATTGAGAAAGCGTTTTTGTTGGAAATTTTACCGACTTAGTAGTAAAAACTGGTTACCCGCTTATTCAGTACGTACAAGACAATAACCCAACAATAGGATCAGCCTTATCTTCCAGATTTGTTCTTTAATGGCCAATTCCAGGGTTTCTTCAGCATTGTCCTACGGCTGTCGTTAAGCGAGTCCAAATTGGCCCCGGAGCCCTTAGCTACAGTTGCAGTAAACTCACTTAGTCTTCGTACGCCTGGACGGACAGATCGCTGGTTGATTTGGCCAAAACAAAGGCAATTTGGCCGCACAGAATTTGTACGATATTTCGCTTGGTTTGACCAAACCACACAATTACACAATAGTTGTACTGTGGTTTAGCGCTCTCCAGCTCCGTGAAAGAATCAGACAGGAATTTGCCTTTATACTGCATACGGTTACCGGTGGTTAACTTATTATCTTTAACCCGGTTACGAACAGCATCTAGATACTCGTAATAATTTAACCATTATCGAGTCGGGAACGTCAACAGTGGAAAATTACCAGATGTTCAAGAAAAACAAATAATTGCTAAAATAATCAAGAAATAATAATAGATAAACGGCAGTGATAATGCCAAAACGCAAAATATTGCCATAATTGCCTCTGTCCGATGCGGGGACGTTACGCAAGAGGTCACAAAGTCTTTAGCAATCACAGGTACAATCGGAGTACCTCTTAATTTTGTCACAGCATTCGTTCGCGGCAAAATGGTCTTCACCAAATGTAAAGCGTCTCTAGTGAGATATCGTGAGAAGTTGTTAGAGACTCATAAGGATAGAGAATTCGGTAGGACAGAGATGTCGGCGATCATAGGGCAGGCATGGTTCGCGTTGGCAGTTCTTACTAACAAGTATCAGCACGTTGGTCGCCATCTGTAGTAAATCGCAAGGATTACGAGTCGCTGGGAGATGGGACGACATATAATGTGCCGAATATTCGATTTCTTGTGATGCCAGTCGAATGGAGCACCTGTCTTCGAACACAGTCGAACCTTCGAACACCTGCAATGAAGGGAAAAGAAAGCATATTACGACCCGAAGGAATAGAGATTCTGCTAGAGTAGATCTAAATTTTATTTGCAATATGTACAGGGACGAGCATCGCTCGCAAAAATACGTTCCAACGAAAAGTTGGTCCAAGTTGGCACGAGAAAACACCGTAGTTAAAGTAGAAATGAAGCCACAATGGCAGTGTTTGGAATCGCGTTTAAATTCTCATTGGTATTTTTGGCGGGGGGGTTTGTGTGCCTGTAGAAGTCCTGACCAGCATGACTTGGTTGTTATTCCTTGTTTTGCAGAGCCGGTGCACACCTATGCACACAACTGCGTACGTTGCCAAGAGTCAGGCAGAAAATCAACGGATCCAGGACCGTTGGATGATGTGAGATTGGACGCTAATCGATACAGGGCGGGGTGCAATATGGTATTTGGACTGTAAGTGAGAATAGTGAGGCATCACATCAACGCCCACCAACAAACCATGGTATTGCCGGTGTATAACGAGCAGCACTCAGGACCCGTAGCCAATAGAAAACGCCCATCCTACGCAGGACTGTAGCCCATATAATTGGGAAAATGTCTATGGGTGCAGTCCTGCGTATGGTGGGATACGGTGTGCGGGTGGCGTAGCAGCGTGCGGGTGGCAGTTAGCATACACGGCGACCAACCACCGCTTGCATGCAGTTACTTGCTATCCGATTATTGCATACGAGCCTCCTATGCAACGGCTCCTATGCAAATCGTGGCAATTGTCTTTGTCTACCGAACTGAGCTATTTTGCACAGGACAGACTACATATATAACGCAATGTACACTGTACGTTTATTCATAATAACTGTTAATTATTGTGTAATACCTACAAATTATTGTGCACTTGTTGAGTGTGTGTAGTATTGTACTTGTTGTCGCTGTACACTGTTTTGCACATTATCTGCATAATGTTCCGCTCTCCTATTTATACTTCTATTAACCTGTTTGCGTACCTGGCCGACGAGCCCAGCGATGCCAAGACCATCATCTTGGATGAGTTCCCTTTTAGTGATTTTCGTGATATACCGCTGCAGCGTTTCACTGATCTGCGTTGCCTGTCGGCCAATGCCTGTGGAGTGAAGTCGGTTCTTGGACTGCCACCGCTGCCCCAACTGACCCAACTGCAGCTTAACGATAACCAGCTGGGATACAACCCGGACACTCCCCATTTCGAGTTGCTGGCAACCGCGACACCGAACCTGAAGCGGCTCACTTTGGCGAACAACGGGATCAGCAGTCACGACATTCTGAAGCCATTGAAGGACTTGCCGGCCCTCCACACAGTGGACCTTGGCTACAACAGCGTGAACCGCACCCACCACTGCCAGCTCTACGACGCCGTGCCGCAGGTTATGCACTGGGACGGAGACGGTGGAGAGACCGATTGCGACAGCGATGCAGAAATGAGCGGTGAGGATATTCCTTGTCTCTGTGATGAATTAATTTTTAATTGTGTTTTATAAAGTGATTTACTCTTGTAATTTTAGGTATTTTGAATCAGGGTCGGAGAAGGGCGACGAGGAGGAAGACGACGATGTGTCGATGGCCGATTCAGGTAACTGGTTCTACTAACGTTATTGTTCCAGCTTTCGTTTGCAAAAATTTTTTTTCGGCAATTCTTGCAGATAGCACATGGCTACTGTCCGACGATGATGTGGATCATATTTCGGATTCGGCTTCCGAACCGGACATGGACGCCAGCGACCACCAGGACGAAGACGATGACGACGTCATTATGTTGAATTAGTGTGGCTTTTAGTATTGTTTTGTTATTCTTGTTGTTTTCCATTACCCCCACCGGAACCCCCACAGGAATGCTGGCGGATGCTATTTTTTGTTTGTTTTTTTACTATGTTTCGTTTGTTTACTTCCTTGTTTTCACTTCCTGGTTATGAATCGTACTTCTGAACTCGTACGTGTCCAGTGTGAATAAAATTGTGTAGTTTGCATAGGAGGCTGGTATGCAAATCGACGCTTTTCGCGGTATAAAATCCGATGATCCATAAATCACTCAAAGTTAAATTCTGACAGTTGAAATTTCGCTCTAGTAATTTTCTGACTTTCAAAATCTGCATTTGTGCAAATTCAGTGTTCACTATT